CGTGTAGAGGTGAAGTGGGGCGCTGCAGGGCAGCAGAGCACAGGCGGCTATAGCCGGGCTGCTGGGCGCCAGGAGGTAAGGCTGGCGATCGAGTGGTCTTCAGGGAAGGAGGCGAGTGTGGTGTAATCAAGGTCTGATTGACGGTGCCGAGATACGTACCTCGCGCATGAAGAGAGGTCGGCTATGGAGTTGACAGTCATGTACATTGGTCTTCGAGAGTCGAACTGAGCCTGTTGCGTGAACCAGCTGTAGGTAGGATAGTCGGGCAGAGTAGGTTGGGCGCTGGGTGCCAGACAGAGAGGAGCGACTTTGGATACTGTGTTGGTGTGGCCTACGGGCTTGGACATTGACTCGTTACTTCATTGTATTGCTCTATATGGATGGTTTTCTCGGTGCATTTGTACTCTCTCCTTGGACACGACTACTTGGACATCTGTGTGATTTCGCAACTTGGTTTTCTGTATATCGTTCACACTCATATTCCTTGCAAAAATAATTCTGAATGACCTGTGTGTGGGGCCGCCCAGTCCAATGGTGATATCTCAAGGGCGTTGCCCTTCAAAAAAAAAAAGATCGATAAATAATACAAAAAAAAAAAAAAAAAAAAAAAAAAAACTGTGCCGTGAGCAAACTCATCTACCATTGAGACTCTTTCTGAGTCCTTGGCTTCGAAGTTTTTGTTCTGTTCTTTTTTGTGAGGCTGAAAAGTTTTAAACTCTCTCTGGACTCATGAGTCATTCTCACTTGGGTTGGCAGATGAAGCTCCCCACAGTAGCCTGACTGGCAATGGCTTTTTCTTTTTCTTTTTCTTTTTTCTTTTTTTTGTAAGGAGGCTCCATATCTATTGGTGGGGAGCAGCACCTGCTGGAAAACGGGTCCAGCGTCCTCCTGAACATTATATCCATCGAAGAACCTCTGAAAGCAAGATATGGGGCCTCGCTGCACTACTCTCCACATGCACAAAAGACAAAAATCATGGCGGTGTATCTTTCCATAATCTAGCGGAAGATTCACTCTCCTTTTGCACATTTCGAGAGTAGTGCAGCGAGGCCCATAATTGCAAGCCCGACGTTGACTAAGGGTGACAGCACAACCACACTACCACAATCCAAAATGTATCGGACCGCCATCACTGCCCTGCGTGGATGCATCTGACAACAATTAGGGTCTGATCCCACCACTACACAACGACTGTAGTCGCGAAAAAGCACTACAAAGATGTCAGCGGCCATGGCGGGACGAAAAAGAGAAACTGGATCCCACGAGGGAGACTTCTTCTAAAAAAAATAAAAAAAGGAGACTTCTTCGGTCGTTGCCCTGGACCCGCGGCGGTTATTTGTGGGCTGTTGCAGAGGGCGGACGTTTTCGCCAACCGAAGTGCCACACAACAGTGTGGTCCACGGACATTCCTGATGCTGCAACTGGACGAAAGAGGAAAAAAAAAAAAAAAGTTGCTCCCTCTTTTTCGCTGCAGAGATGCCCTCACGGTCTACAGAAAAATTGTAGTAACTACGCTTGCACCCTTCGCGGACACACTGTGCTGCCACGACACACCCAAACGAAAGTATGGCAAAATATTTCCGCGGCCGCTACGACGTCGGAAAGCGGTGGGATCTGAAAACTACACTGTAACTGGGCTGTAGTGTAGTTGTGGGATCAGACCCTTAGATTCAGAAACAGAGTAGCTGGCGTTCGGGTCTGGCCGAACTGCTGAACCCGAACGGCCGAACATTTGGCGCCCCTTGGCGACGCCTTAGGCCCACCCAAACGGCAAAAAAACAAAAAGGACGGGCCTGAAAAGAATCCGGGAAAAAAACTACATTATGCAGAAAAATTAAATGAACAAAGTTTTTTTTTTTTTTTTTGAACCGGGCCCAGCATCCCTTATATTATTCTGGAAAGCCAGAATCGGGCCTGGCACCCCTCACAAAAATTAAGTAGTCCGGGGCAAGGTCCCACTATCAGCCTTGAGCTACCTCAACGCCTGAATGTGGACGCTTTTGCGGAGATGTGCAGAAATGGTGTTGAGTTTCCTGAACTGCACTTCTCTACAAACACGTCCAGATTCAGGCGTGTTGAGGTAGCTCAAGGCTGCTAGTGGGACTTGGCCCCCGGTCCGAGGGCCAGACATCATTGGTCAAGCCCAGGGGCCGGGCCACAACCACTGGTCAACACAAAGTGAAGCTCATAAAACAAACCCTAATAATCCTGAACAACAGTCCCGCAACTGCAGAGAACAAAAGCTGAAAGCCGCAACAATTTAACAAATTTCTGACAAATTACTAGCAAATTACAAACAAATTACTAACAAATTACTATTAAAAAAAAAAATAATAACAAATTACTAACAAATTACTAACAAATTACTAACAATAACAAATTACTACCAAATTACTAACAAATTACTAACAAATTACTAACAAATTACTAACAAATTACTAACAAATTACTAACAGTAGACAAATTTGACAAAATACTAACAATTGCTCTCCATCAACAAAGTGCTAAAAAAACAATAGATGATCTGATGAAGTACTAGCATTTTTTTCCAAGCAAGTAAATGCGAAGAAGTAGTAGGAGGCCAACGGGGTCACATTGAAATTCTTTACCACATTTAAAAATTAAAATAAAAAAATATTTTTTATTTTGTTTTTTTTTTTAATTTATTTTGGGCCCGATCCGGCACAAGGTCTTCCGTATCCGTGTATTCACTGGGGAAGTCAGTGGTGTGTATCTGATAACGGCCGGCGGTCAAAACCGGTCGGGGTGCCATCACCTACCGGAGTTTGCAATCTTGTACTCATTGTACTTATTTACTTTGCGACCCTTTTTTTTTTTTTTTTTTTTTTTTTTT